TAAAATCATACAATTAGTCGTATTTCCTACATATTTATCTCCAAGTGAAAATTCAGATGGTAATTATCTTAGCCCTGGGTTCTCGGTTACACCACGCCAGGTTAACGGCAGATTAATTAGGGTTAACAGCCGTAAATCATCCTCATCTCGCTCTTAAATGGATTTTGATCGTATAACCATACTATTTGTTTTCGATTTGATACTTTTGTTTGAAATTGTTACAAAATGTAACGTGCGGAGAACATAAATAAAAATGTATGATACTAGAAAGGAAAAGGCTGTCAATATTCTAATTTCAAAATTACCAACTCACTACTAGTACAGTGGCGTAACAATAGGGTGGCAGGGCTGGCAAAATGCCACGGGCCCCCAACCCAGGAGGGCCCCTGCCCAAGAGATATTATGTTCTATGGATGAATGTGAAGTCTCCAATACGCATTGGTCTAGCGTGGGGACTCTACAGATCATTCCCTCTCGCCTAAGAGAAGAGGTATATGGCCATTACTCGGACATAATATACAACTTGTAATTGAGTAAGTACGCTGAAAATCTCGAAGTTTATTAAAATTAAACTGAGTACAACGTGACCATTTTTACTGATAGGGCCCCATCAAAAGAATTGCCACGGGCCCCATGTGGTATAGTTACGCCACTGTACTAGTAGTTAAACTACATTTGGCGTTTACATCTTTTTACAAAGTGAAAAATCATAAATGAAAATTATAAAATTTCGGGAAAAATAAACATTAAAAGTACGAAATATTGCTAATTTAGTAGATTTATATTATAAGTTGTATATTACATTAATATAACTACATTTAGATAAATTGTAATCAGGATGGCCAAGGATATATCTGACATCGAAAAGCTTTTGTGTGATCGATGTCTCGGCCATCCGTCTTCATTTATGCTTACTTCCAAACTTCTGAGTGTTATGAGGGAAAGAGAATTAGTCCTGACGTATTGGATGTCCCCTATGAAAGATGTAGGTCTAGAATTTATCACTGTCTGCAATTCTCAACCCTGAGATAATAGGTTCGTCTGAGCTTGTTAATTTTCTTTGAACTTGCCTGGTGTCAGCTCGATATAGAAATAATAGGTTGTAGCACTGGGGAATGAGTTAAAACTAATACAATCTGTTGTGTAGTTATTTCGTTTCCGTGATAAAGTAGATAGGTCTAACGATCGAAACGATCTGCAAAATTTGAATAAAATCTGTTAAGTCGTTTCACAATAATGTTTATTCGTTTTTACAACAAACAACATAGGCCGGGAGATAGTGACACAAAATAGTTAGTCATTTGTACCAGTATGGCGGTTCTACAGGTATCTTATTACGAAATTAAAAAAAGTCGTCGGATTATTTACGACTTTTAAACGATTTGTTCCACAAAAATTCTAGTATTTTCCGATAGTCCATACAAAAATAAGAGGCGGCAGTGTCATGCCATACTTCTCCGGTGTGACTTACAGCCCGCCATACCGACGCGAATGCGATGTTTAAAAAAAACGACGGGTTGCACTCCGGGAGTGCCGGCAGAAGTGAAAACTTGAATATTAACGTTGTGCATTTTTGATATTTTGGAATGGTTAGGGAATAATTTTGCACGAATTGCTTCAATTATCAGTATAAAAGTACTATCATTTATGTGGTAGATTACAATATTTATTTATTGCGCTATCGTACACAAACATGACAATTTATATTTAAGTGAAGTGCCGCTAAGTTCTCCGTTCAAAAAGTGCATTTTATTTTAAGGACGATTATCTTTAATTACCAATTAGTACATCATAACGACGACACTTCTGACCATCTAAATAGTAAACAATCGTATACTATTTGATGAATTTGTTGTTTGTGATTTCGACACAAGTGAACTTCGCGTTTATATTTAGTCCCGGTCTTTTCTTTCAATCCTACCGAACAAGCACGTCGGGCGTCGTCTAGTATGAATGAATTTGCAATGGTGTAAAATTTATCGACTAATTTTATGTTAATGTGTTTGTATACGAAAATATGATTTTTAGTTAATTACATTTTCATTGTATTGTTACGAAAATATGCATAATACACCTATACGTTTGCTCTACAAAAGAAATGCCGTATCGCTTTGTTACGTTGTATAATATTTTGAATTCTTATGAATTAACAACTAATGAATAATTTAAAGAAACTACTTGCATCTATGTTATATACATCTATTTAAGTAACCGGCTCGCTTGGCACTTTCGAGTTTTTTAGTCTCTATAATCTAATAAATATTCCTATAAAGTTTTAAGCTAAATCGTCTTGAATCTTATAAGTCTCGGATGAACTCAACATTAGCATATTTAAATACATAATTGTTCCCGTGTGATTTCCCTCTTACGATTGCTCGTTAAAGTTACGAGCTTCTAATATTTCTTTAACTTGACGTTAACTTCCAAACATTGCTTAAAATTTTGATGTAAAATTAATAATTTTGACACGTAGCGATAACATCTGACAATATAGCTTAAGCTGCCTTAGTGGCTTAGTTACGCTACCGACCTTAATTATAAAAGGAAGTTTTAATTTCCAATTTCCAGAGAGACAATCTTTTCGGTATGACAGGGCCAAATACTCCCGTGTTGATTCACTTGCCTTAATTTTCAACACACTCCTAACATATCTTCCTTTTTCCCTCCAAGTCTCGGAAATCTAAAGTTTTAGATTTGTATAAATATGAACAAGAGTTTTAATTCTGACATGTGTACTTTGTACGCACGCACTTGTTTTTCTATGTGTATTTATTGTTCTGTATGTGATGTATATGTAATTGTTACCGCATTAGAGTAACTATTAATGGTAGCTTATTTTGTTAAAGAAATAAAAATTATTACAATGCCGTTTTTGTCTCGCAGCACGTATCGTTATATAAATTAAAAACTAGTATATTCCGAGGCTTTATCTCTGGGGAGTGGTGGAAATGTATTAGCAGCGAGTAGTTTACGTGATAAGGGTCCTTTTTTATGGTCGGCCGGTTATATCCGGATTTATTGATGAACCCGTGTCAAAGGCAATCGCGAGATCTCAATGTATTGACATCATAATTTGTTTTTGGGACACTTTCACATCCATTTTCGTTATATCCCTTGATAAGTGGGATGTGATTGTTTTTATTGATTATATGTGATCGATCCATACCAGTTCAATATTTAGGTTAAATTTGCGAGTTTATTTATTTGGGAAAAAAACAGATACATCTCTATACAATAAAACATAAAATAAACACATTGGATATATCCACAAAAAGTTTCACTGATAAAAAAAGGGTGCGTGTACTTATGTACGCGCGTAAGGAGTTATACTTCTTTGGCATTATTAAAAATAGTTTTTGATTGCATGCGAATAATTAATTACAATTAAATAATCAAAGACTGGAAAAGGACTCATTATAGTCAATAAAGTTCAGTTTAAATTTGAAAAATTAAATATTTATTACTATTCTCTTATTCTCTATTTAAATTCTATTATTATTCGAATGTTGTTTTTAAATTATGTCCAATACCGTAGCATCTTCCGTGCGCAACTTCATTTTGTTAATTTTGTGTCACGGTGCGCGCGCATCGTAAAATTTCACTGTCATCAATTTTTCATAACGCGCCTAAAGAAGTATAACTTCAAAAATATGATACAGAACAAATCAAAACAAATGATGACAGCACAAAAATTTTAAATCCGGAGAACGAAGAAACAAACTGATATCTACAATAAAGAAGCTATAATAAAGAAGAAAGATACAAGGATTAGGACATTAATTGTGGTTTTAAATTATTCTTAAATGTAGCTGTAGAGGAGTGCGAAAATGTGTTGAAATAATATACATGAATATATTGAGCGTGTTTTATACGCGACTTTTAGCCTGAGCTAACTGCAGTGTTAACCTAAAATATCCATAAAAGCACTAAATCTGTTAAATTATTCAAATCTCATTATTTAAGTCATGGATATCATATAAAGAAAGAAAGGAAAAAATATTATACACAATAACAGGATGTTTTGGTAAAAAAAAGTGAACAGAGTGGGGGCTAATCTAGGATTCCCTGTGTCGGGGGCAGCTAGCATTTGACATGTTACTGTACTATTTTTGAACAATAAGAATATTTAATGAATCGGCATAGGACAGGTTGACAAGATGTTGTTTCAGATTTTTGTTATATATCAACGTGTTTTAAACTTAATCACTATTATGTGAATTATTTTGTTTAAAAATAAATATTAAGATGAGAGATGTAACTTGTCATTTAATAAATGTGCTACTTTTATTTCTTACTAAACCATTGTCACCAAATATTTATTTTAAACACTTGATATATGAAAATTCAAAGATAATAGAAACAAGAATTTCTACAAGCGTAGATGCTAATTCGTAACCGTGTCAACTTTGTAACGTCACGTAGTACCAATTTATCAATGAACTGATTGATCGGAGTAAGGCTAAGAGAATAGATGTCGACGTTCAATCACAAGCTCCATTTCAAATACCTATATTGAGAAGTTTTCCTAACTATAAAATAAAATAATATCGAGTCAGTAACCGGTGTAGTTATGAATCAAGACAGTGAAATAAGAATGTCTAAGTTAAAAGATTGAACCACGCGCGTAGTCGACAGTGCGGGTATGAGGACGCCGAATGATAGAAATAATGGCTATTCTCAAATGAAAGGGTTGATCCATGTAGCCATCATCAAAATTTAGATTTTTTTTATAGATCAGAGGGAAGATGAGCCTTCGAACAAGCAAGGGTGTAGTTCAAAATCGTATGGCATCTGAACACGGCGAAATCGTATAGCCTGGCTTCGGTATCCTGGTCCCTAGAGTCTATGATCCACGGATAGGCGTTGGGCAAACGGGCAGGAGGCTCAAATTACATTGCTTTTATAAATGGTTTGGACTTTTCCATAAAACTACAGTAATCTACTTCGTAGCAACAACACAAAGACTGTTATAAAAACTTTTAATAAGTAAACAAATCAATTTAGGTCTTTGTATTCGAAAACTGCATCGTGTCAATACCTGGTTGAGGTTTTTTGGCGAGGCGAGAAATTAGCTTCTTCAATTGCGCAATATGTACGTGAGGAGCCAAGCCCTTCGGACAAGCAAGGGTGCAGTTCATAATTGTATGGCATCTGTACACGGCGAAATCGTCTTTCAAATCGTACAGCCTGGCTTCCGAATCCTGGTCCCTAGAGTCTATGATCCACCGATAGGCGTGGAGTAATGTAGCTGGGCCGAGAAACCGCCTTCCGTTCCACCAATAGCTTGGACAAGACGTGGAGCAGCAGGCACAAAGCACACATTCGTATAAGCCGACCATTTTGTTGTTGTCGTCAACACTTTGGGCGTATTGGTATGATCCCAACTTTTTTTGTCGGTCGTGTCGTATAAGGTACGGACGAATGCTGTCGTACCCATTGAAGAAATGAGTCATGTCAACGACCAAGTCTCTGATGACGTACATGTGGGGTATAGGGTAGATTGTTATCTTTTTATCTGGTGGTATCTCTGTGATGCAAGCGAGACAGTTCTTCCCTTGGAGATTTATAGCACAGGAACCGCAGATACCTAGAGTTCAAAATTCTCAAATATACCGAAAAGTTTGCAGTAGTTTTAAACGATGAGAAGATCATCCCTAAATTTTAATTTTAATTTTTTAGATAAAATTTTTTGTTTTTATTTTTTTATAATACAACATACAAAAACACATACAACCCTTAATTGTCACCCCTCTACGATCAACTCCTATTTTTAATTTGTTAATTAAAAACTTATGTCTTGAGGTTTATATAGAGAAAAAAATTCACAGAAAAACCTAAAAAGTTTATATCCGGAAAACCGAACAGTCTCTGGGGTAGCCAAGTAAAATGTTCCATGTTGGTTTGTACTAAAAAGGTAGGCTAAATAAAATCACATTAAGGAGAAACGCAGTTCGTGGGGGCAGCTAGTAATAACATGAAACTGAAGTCGTTAAAGACTTGAAGAGATTTCACTAAAACGGGTCTTATACATTTTGAATCCTAATAATAACTTAATAGACCAGTGCAGATAGCCTTTAAAAAAAATAAAAAGGGAAAAAAATGAAATACGAAAATTTTAGCCCATCTAAAGGTAAAAATTTTTTTTAGGTCACTCAGGTATATATAAGTTATCTTAAAATAGTAATAAATAGGCATCTAATTATAATTTAAAGAAGATTCATGGAGAAGTAGGGAAGGGGATGACGGGTCTGGGCGTTACTGCATACGATTTTTTGCATTTTCTGAGAAGATATACTATGGTAATATATATATTTTTTTTTACTATAGGAAAGTAGAGATTTCAACGAACTGAAAGCACACCAACTTTTTGAAAAAAAATTATATTTTGACGGGTGAATTTTCGCTTGAAAATTAGGGTGTTTTTTCGATATTAATTCAAAATAAGGTGAAAAAATAAATATTTTTAATCAAATAAATGACAGCGTATTTGGGACATAGAAAGGTAAGTTTTTACCAAATTTCGTTTAAAAAAAATGTTTTTTTGTAAAAGATAAAAATTAAAAACTTGACTTTTTTCCATAGGACTTTTAGTTTTGCCGGAAATCGAGATAAACCGTTTTTTACCCTTAAAACTCCCCCCTTCCCTTCCCGACCTCAGATCGCCCATAAATTATTTTTCCTTTAATTTTTATAATATTATCCTCCCTTTCCAATAGGTTTCATCCTACTATTATTTTTTTAGGTCTCAAAAATTATCGACACTGGTCTATAATATAAAGCAAGAATTATCTATATTATACAATAACCATAAAGTATCATATATGACCCTCATACCTTCTCGACAGGATCGCCTAAAAGCCAGCGTTGGGTCCATGTCCTTAATCTTGATCAGGGCATCCAGAACCATTTTACCGCACGTAGACACATCTAGGTCATAATTCTTCATTTGTGGCGCGCCTTTAGTGAGGATACCGTCGAATCTATACACTTTAAATACTCGCCTTGGATCAACCTGTTTTATTGGCTTTGCTTGCTTTGCTGTGCTGTAACACCGCGCTGTGTTTATTAGATTTCTAAAATAATTCATGATTATAATATAAATATAATAAGTTATAAATTCAAATTGGATGTTTATTGTTAATTGTCAAAATAGTGACAGTGTCGTATTAAACACGTTTATAGGAAGAGGTTGGAATTAAAATTGTCTATAGCTGATTAAGTAGGTCACAACTTCATATTGGCAAACATATTAAGATATGTTATAAATTAATTATAATATAATTAGAACCTTGTACTAATTAATATTATAATGCGTAATATATAATTTGAAATTGAAATATATTGTACCAGTAGTACTAGTTTTTTTAATGTAACACGAGGCAAACGGGCTGAAGACTCACCTGATGTTAATTGATACCGCCGCCCATGGACACTCACAATTCCAGAAGGCTTGAAAATGCGTTGCCAGCCCATAAAGAATTGGTACGTTCTTTTCTTGTAGGACCCTAAGTCAAATTGGTTCGGAAATACTTCAGTGGGCAGCTGGTTCCACATAGTGGTGGTGCGCGGCAAAAACTGCCTTAAGAAACGCTCAGTTGTGGAACGACGGACGTCGAGATGATACGGATGGTATTTTGTATTCTGCCTTAACGTTCGATAATGAAACTCAACTGCAGTTTAAACCGAACAACTCCTCTGAACACTCTCCATGGTAAATGCAGTAGAAGAGGCAGAGAGATCAAGCCGCTCGGAAAGTGACTGGTCGTCGACGATTCGAATCGGACTTCGTTGAATACGGTCAAGTGGAAGGAGCTGCTACTGGGGAGCGCCCGTCCAGAGGTGAGAACAGTACTCCATGTGTGGCCTTGCGCTTTGTAAAGCGGCTAACTTAGCATTTCTTTCCAAATGACCGCGAAACTGAACGTCATTTGCCAACGCCCAGTATTCCGATGCTAGCTAAGGCTATATTAAGCTTTGACTTTTCCTAAGCTCTGAGGTTGCATAAAAAAAATCTTCAAAGGTTTACAATTAACACTTCTTTAACTCTCGAATAAGACCCATCTATGCGGTAAGAATAACAAATAAAAGACGAAAGTGTATTTAATTGTAATTGGAAAAACGGATCTTGTACCAGACGTATCATGTCGCGAGTCATTGTGGTGGAATAGATATGAGAGGTATTTCCTAACCGATGCGCCATAGACGCCTTCAAACGACGTACCTACTTTAAAGGAACATACTCGTTAAACGTTAAACGTTAGATAAACGTTACTACTGTCGACATTATAGAGGTTTCTGGGGAGAGATTGATAAAGAAAGCAAAGAACAGATCCAAAAGGAAAGATCAGGAGGAGGCTTTTACCCAAACGACGTGATGGAAATAATAAAAACCTAACTAAATTAATGTGTAATATGAAAACTAACACCTAGTTTAGGAATTAAAGTGCCTTTATTATTATTAACATACCCAATATCCCCCCCTTGGCGTTCCAGGTGTCATTGGGTTTGTAAGCGCTCTTTTTCCTCCTGTGTTTACTTCAATAAAACGAGATACATAAGATATTACGTGAATATTTGTGTGGAATTATAATAACCCGCGATTTCACTGTCATGAGATAAACCTGGATATTGGGATTATTTTCACGAATTTTTCAATTCGTTTCAGTAGTTGGAGAGTGGCTCGAACAAACAAACTCTTCAGCTTAATAACATTGGTATAGATACACTTGGCTTAATCTAATTAGGCCATAGTGAGTTGGGTCATTACAAAGCAGAATTTCACCAAACAGAAACGCTAAGTTTCGTTTAACTTGCAACACTGTTTAATTCGTGATTAAACTGGCAAACATTAAATTACATTATTTCACAAGTTAAAAGGCTGTTTGACGCTCATGTATGTTGCATGTTCATATATATTTTGGTACAGAAAGATATATATATGATATATCTAAAATAGAATGGTGTTGATTTGTTTAGCGTGCAGTCATTTTCAAAATTTATCTGAGTCTGCACTAACGGTTTTTATCCAGTTCTCGGATCTGCGCAATATTTGTTTCTATGGTGAAGGAAAACCAGGGTGAAATATCTGCAACTCTTGACTCAAGAAGTTAAAAACGTGTCATAAGCAGATCACCAATCAAAAACATCGCATTCACCGAATCCCTTTATTTCGAACTGAAAGTATTTGGTTAGTTCACACAAGCACTGCTCGATAAATTGAAATATTGAGTAAAAGCTTAAATTATTGTATCGCAAAGGTTTTTGTAGTCCAACCATTTTTTAAATTCCATTTACGTTTCCCGCAACTAAAACTTACTCTGCAATATATTTTTTTAATACATGTGTCTTCACTGAGACATCATGGAACATTACGATCTAGCCTAACTTAAGACTAATAAGTAAGTTTAAGCAAATTTAACAATAAGGATATTTCACATAAAGTGTCCTATAACACAACTTACAGTCTCTATTAAGCGGACGACACTCTGTTCGTGTGTTCTTTTTCGCTTGCCAATGTTTACCACTGAAGACATACGTGCACTAACACTCTGCAATATAATTTAAGCGAAATAATTTAATATATGTGGATGTTTCCACTATACTTTTTTACTTAAAGTCCTATGTCCCCCAAGTGGGGCAGAGGACAATTAGCATAGAAAACCAGCCTGATTGGTCCTGGACGGCTCTTTTCATTTCACTCCACGTCATAGCTTCCTTCCCCTCTGCGATGATGCTTCGTTTCCAGGTCTGTTTTGGGCGGCCACGTTTGCTATTGCTGTCAGGTTCTAGTCAAAAGCTTGCATGGCAATGTGACTTGGATCTCTGCAAAGCGTATTGCCCACCCATTTCCACTTCCGGCGTTTTATATACCTGCCCATTGGCACCGCAATGCATATCTCCCATATCTGATGGTTAGAGATTCTCTCGGGCAAGGATTCATGAAGGCTGCGATTCACGAAGACCTTGTGTTGTTGTGTGGTGCTCTTTGTAACTTTCCACGTTCAGCAACCATACAGCAACACGGTCTTTTGACTCGAGGTTTCCATTATAAAACATTCCGTCGTAGACCGTTAAACATTGCACTGAGTTCAGTACTTATACCATTAGAAGACTTTGTAAAGCATAATTGTAATAAAAATTCAAATAACTTAGATATGACGTTGATTGATGAATACAAATGGTCTGTACGAGTATAACAGTCGAAATATTTTCACTTTAAAAGGCATTACGCAAATGTTGCAAAAGCTTAAGAAATCTAAGATAACAAAACAAGGAAAAGTATCAGTAGTCTGTGTGCTAGCAATTTAAAAGGCCGGCAACGCACTCGCGAGCCCTATCTCGTCCATTAGCAGTATCACTTAACATCAGGTGAGACTCCTGGCTGTTTGCCCCCTGTTCTATAAAACAAACATTAGCGACTGTTATTAATTTATATGAGCAGATACATCTACAATAAATGAAATAGGCTGCTTAACGGACGGTGGGTCCACAATTTAAATAACTTTTAAAGGACTGACTACTGAACACACCTTACGCAGAGTTGGAAATGCTACTGAGACCTAACCTGTATGAAGTTATGTAAACATAGACTAAAAAATTAAGATAAGAAAAAGTCTTTGTTCCTTTTGGAGTAAATACTCTTGGGCCGTGGAGTTCAAGTGCACAGGCGCTAATTCAAGATTTAAGTTCGCGCCTGGTAGATACTACCGGTGACCCAGAGCTGGTGCATTCCTCGCTCAACGAATAAGTTTATTTATTTATTTTCTTAAACTTAAACTTAGGACATAAGTAAGTGACAGTTATATTCTTACTTCTGTTTATGGAAAAAGCTAGTCTGTGTGAGACTGATGCCTGCTAAAGGTAAGAGTACCTGTGTTACAGGTCATCAGGCCTCCACCACTTCGGATCGACAGAAGATCTTATACAATACAATACATTACAATATATAGAGGAAACCACATGGGGTATGTGTGTATGTGTAAATTATGTGTATGTGTGTGGGTGTGTGTGTGTCTGTGTATGTTTTATATTTATAGTTTTATAAGTATCGCAATACAGCGAGGAAATTCTGACAGCGTTAAAGGGATCCGGAACCAAACTTTTTAAATTTTGTATTAATTTTCTGTTTATCAATTTTTAATTATATGTATTATTACTATGTAGGTAAAACAATTGTAAATACTGTATATTTGATTGTTATGAACTAATGCTATTTATATTTCACAATCAATAAGAGAAAGAAAAGCTTTACAAAATACCTCAATAAATAAAGTCGTCAAGGGTCTTTGATAAATTAAATAAATCATCCCATTTAAGTTGAAGTAAAATAAGATTTATGCTAATCTATTCATTTGAATTTGTCTTTCTCAGTTGACGACCAATAAACTTTTTACTCGGTTCTTAAGTTAGTACTTTCTAAGAGAGTGAAAATTTAGTGGAAATTCTGCGAAGTTTTTTCGAAAGTACTTCTTACTTTGCGGAGTATAAACTTTACACTCACTATTTAAGAATATTTACGAGAATTTTATATTTTGGTCAGATTACATACTACATGTACGTGCTGAAAAACTGATAATGAATGATCAGAATTTCTTTTTTGATCTTTTATTTTAACTCGAATTAAAAAAAATCCCTTCATCACCAAAGCCTTCGTGACGAATAAATATTATACGAATACTCGTTGGCTTGGCTTGTGTTTGTTACAACTTAACAGTCTATTGCAATTACGCGTTTGAAGTGACCCAAAATAGGTCTTAGGAATGATTACTATATTATAAGGAATGAAAACTAGTAAGTTTCAAAAGTAATTTTTAATTTATTAACACTTGATTTGAAATATGTCGTCAATACCAAGTAATTTTTACAATGTCATTATGTTATACGATATAAGGACGGCGTTTATGACGCCTTGGCTCTTTAGTGTCCAGGGTTCACAGCAATTACGTCAATAGGATTGATGTCAGTTGGACCACTGGGACCTTCTGGGATCAGAGCTGGGTTGTTGTCAATTGGTTGATTCTCCACCTCCTCAATGATGGCTGGGGTTTCGGGGACAATCTATAGAAGAGTAAGAAAATGTTAACAAGTAAAAGTTCTAACTGATCTATGGAGTGCGGTGGAATCGACCTGACCCAACTCCGCATCTGAACTCGGCTGTCTACCATAAGCCAACAACGAATTAAATCATATTTCGGCCATACAATGCGCAGAAGCTATGAGAACTTGGAGAACCTGATCGTGGTTGGTAACACAGGCAAAAGATCACGTGGCCGTTCACCAACCAGATAGACCGATCAAGTGAAAACTCATCGTCCTCAAAACTGTACACTGTTATAAGAGAGGTGCTGGACAGAAACCGGTGGGAACAGCTTGTCCACTCCAGATGTTTACTTGCTGACCACTACGCTCAGACTATGTATATATCTCTGTTAATAAAAATATATGCAAAATAAAAAAGCTTAGAAAAACAGGAGAATTATATTGGTAGACATTTTATGTAATGCAAAGAAAATTTTCCCAAGGCAAATGCTATGCCGGCAGTATTTTATCCCTGGTTTGCAATGGGAATAAACATTTACAAGGAAAGCTGAGTCAGTATCAAAGAATAAATCCCAGGGGGGTGAAAGTCTTGGGATTTTTATATAGTGAAACAAAGTCGGCTGGTTCAGGCACAGAACACGCTGGTTGAGATTACAGATCTTGAGTCTCACCTTTTGTTCATTGTTGATGTTTACGATGACTTGTACCAGTGGAGCGGAGATAGGTCCTAATTCGGGGACAGCAGCAGGTGAAGGGTTGATCTGTGGTTTCTCGACATCACCGGGGATGGGGATGACAATGGATTCCTGATAAGGGTATTGAATTAAATAAACATGGTTCTATGATGATTCGGCAATTAAAAAGAGTTCTTCTTTTTCATAAGTGTATATTGTGCTACCTTAAAGAATATATAATTTTGAATTTAATCTGTTATATATGTACTAGAATAGTAGTAAGTGTTTTTAATAGTTTCCTAAACTTTCACCTAATATTTTTGTATGAACAATCCATTCCTCTAACAAACGGATGCGAACAGATATCAAACTAATATGAATCTTGTTCAAAATTAGGAAGACATCTATGCCAATTAAGACATAATATGGCTATTCGTCAACTTCTGGATATTAATATTCAATACCATAAGGTAACAATTTACTCAGTCCGTGGATTAACGAACAGAGTTTAAGATGCTAGAGTCTTGGGTTGTCCAGTGATGCAACTTTTTCGGGAATGTGATAAAAGTGGATCAGCTAAAAATTACGCAGAAATTTGTCTACTCTTTCAAACTTTGAGTCACGCAGTATTGGACCAGTTACTTAACTTATTACTTACAACTGATAATCCTTCGTATAGGGCGTTCATGATCTTGTCAAGTGCGGCTTCCAGGTAGGGAATAATTGCTGGGTCAGTGCTAGGGTTCTGTAGTGCAGTATCGATTTCTTGGAGAGTCCAGGCTACCGGGGAAGCGGCGCCGACGGCGAGAAGGGCAGCGAATACAGCAAGGAATTTCATTATGCCTGTAATTTTTGAATTACCTATACAGGAGCTGAGGGTCATTTGCCTCCCACCACTCATGGCCGGAGCCACCATATCAATTTAAATATTAGATCCATTTGTAAATTTTTTTGCTTAATCTGAATAGGGACGTACCAAAATTAGAATAGCCAGGATATTTTGAAAGACTCCAAAGATAATTGTTTCTACTCTTGTCAAACATCTTCTTCATACTTGGTCAAATCTTTATCAATACATTTATAGTTTAATACCTTTAATTACTTAAACTAAGTCACTGCACTCTTTTAACTATACTCTTTCTGTCAAATTGTGTTTATGATGTGACGAAGAGAGATATACTGTTGTATGAATTTAGTCAGTGCTTTATAAATATGAATAATGGAGTCATGATTATTCTTACCTGATATTCACACAAGTGATTGGATGTGGCAATTGCTATGTTTATTTATTAGCAGATATTTGGGCGTTTATTTTTTTATCAATACTTCTTATCAATTTTAGAATATTTAGTACAATACGATCAGGCGTTATCATCATAAAAATTTATGATTATGCTATGTTTAGTTTCTCGTTTTTATTAAGTTTTTCTTCGGGTTTTTCTGTGACTTTACGATCATATACAAACAAATTCAAACTGGAATGCTTAATATTCCATAACCCTATATAGCGTTAACATAATTTGAACATAAAGAGACAAATGGTACCATAAAATTATATATAGCATTTTTTTTCGTGAGTAAATGCGTTACGTATACCCTCCCGCGGCACGGTTACCTCATGGTGAAGGGTTTTGTGGGATCGCTGCTGTGCATACCCACTAAAACCCCACGGCGCCACCAGCAATCGCCCGGGGCAGGACACGGTAACAGCGTAGCCTTGTCCGCATCCCGCCACGTTATCAGCCGTTAAACTCACGGCCAGTCCTCTACGGCCACGAACGATGTGGAATAGACCTTGGCATAGCAAGGGCCATTCAAATATACATCTAGCATATGACCTATCCAACATAAGAATAAGGACAAGAGCCTCCCATGGAAACCTGTACCACCGGGAGGCAAGTTAGTAGTTAGAAATTAGTTTAAACATTCTAACTTTTCATTTCTTTTCTTAATATAGATACAATACTGTTATCTAAATATGAATTGTATTATATGTAATAAATATAAAATTATATATCAATGTTACAAAATTTTATGATTATTTGATTATTACGTTTGATACGTACATGATATTATCGTGCGTATCACGTATTTTACGTGAAAAATACATGGACGGATTCAGAATTCACGTCAGGTCACACAAAGACAAAGTTTTAATTTCTTGTTTGTTTACATAGATTTCTTCGATAGGTACTTTTTGTTTTCTTATGTTGAATTTATGGTCTAAGATCCCGCTGCAGGATTGGTGTGCTCATCGACTATTTGTTTAAAACCAAATTTTTATGTTTATTTATAATTAAGAGAATATATATTTACTACTAGGGTGCCTATCAAAATTTGGCCGCCATTATTTTTAATTGATTTTTGGTAAAAAATTTCGTTCATTTATTTTTTAAATAAAATAACGTCTACATCACGGTAATTAATATGAAGATTCTAAAAAATCACGGGTGCCGTTGCGCACCTGGCCGCACCTCTTTGCAGCCAGGTGTAAACAGGTATGATTTCGATAAATTTATACGTTTATAACCTATTTTTATTAATTATATGTCAAATTGAAGCTAATTTTTTTCTATTAATTATCATATAAAGTTGCTTAATTAAATCTGGCCGCAAATAAAAGATAATAAATATTTAAGGTAGAGTGAAAGAGAGTTAGCGCGTAACATCATTTGTCGACGAGGACAGCGATTGTCGGCTGTGCGACGCTTTTAAGCCATTGCGCATGCGTCGAACGTTAGTGTTCTCAACCACCGGGGAGTAATAGAGACGACTTATAATAAATACTCCAAAAAATATGTAATTTTTTTCAAAATGACAAATTTAAAAATTGCAACAAAAAATTCATATTGATTTGATATATCGACGGTCTAGTTAGCAATTTGTCTAACTCCTTATTTTTTAGAGGGTGATTTTTTTAACATTTTGATGAAGCAATAATCCAATTACAAATTATTTGAATGATTCAAACTTAAATATTATATCTCTATTAGATATTAATGATATTAAATGGTTTTTTAAAATGATAATAAATTTTGAAGTCATTGTTTTTTCGTACAAATAAAAGATTCTCTAAAATGGAGTTAGACAAATTGCTAACTAGACCGTCGATATATCAAGTCAATATTAATTTTTTAAAAATAATGGCGGCCAAATTTTGATAGGCACCCTAGTAAATATATATTCTCTTAATTATAAATAAACATAAAAATTTGGTTTTAAACAAATAGTCGATGAGCACACCAATCCTGCAGCGGGATCTCGTACGTATTAAGTTATAAAGTATACTTTACATAGACATAGTTTGTTTTAGTAACAGATTCGTTAGTTATATGTTTGCGAATAGCATTGAACATGCAGAACAACTTAAAAAAATCTGTGCCAGTTATTTAGGTCTGGGCCTCAGATCTATTTCGTGATATATTTCTAATATGCTTGACGGTTTCCTCGCGATGTTTTTCGCAACCAAGTGTTAAATGCGCACATATACAGGCCATTGGTGGACAGCCGGTGTTCAAATCTCAGGCATGAGAGTCGCACGCTGAAGCCACTAGTACAAACTGCTCTGAACAAGTCTAGATATACATAAAACAATTCTAGTATAGAAATATTGATATATAATTAATGTAATATTGATATATAATTAATTTGTTTGGATGACTATTAACAATTAATAATACAAATAAACAACAACAATTAATTTCAAATAGAGATTTAACAAATACCGCACAAATCTATAATTTATTGTCAGTTATAAAGTAGGCCAAACGTATTTTAATCGCGCCAACTGTGTATTGAAATTTGAATGGTTATAGATTAATCTGTATTGTTTAAAATAAATCCAAACTGATGTTATGTAACCTAACATTGGTTTAGTTACATATATGTATTTTAGTTAATAATTAGAAGCGCAAATTTAAACAATCATCTTGCACTTGAAGCCACAAACACTAGTTTTTTTGTACACTCTATGTCGACTACACCTATATTCCTTATAGGTAACAGATGTGTCACTAACATTTAAGAACCCAAAATAACTCAAGTTAGTTTTTTGTTAATCCAGCGTCGCAACCCCACTACCCCTAATTTTATGTTAGTTATAAAATAAATCAGTGGCACTACCACCTCTTTAGGCCTCAGATTTCTGAATCTGTTTCATGATCATTTTAAAATCTAATAGGCAAGTAGATGATCAGCCTCCAGTGCTTGACACACGCCGTCTTGTGTCGACTTTTTGAGTCTAAGGCATGTTGGTTTCCTCACGATGTTTTCCTTAACCATTCGAGCTAATGTTAAATGCTGACATAGAAAGAAAGTCCATTGGTGCACAGTCGGGGATCGAACCTACGACTCAGGGATGAGAGTCGCACGCTGAAGCCACTAGGCCAACACTGCTCATGTTAGTTATAAGTTCATGTTTTAAACGATTAAAGCCAGTTGCGTCAAACAAAGATTCATGTAAAATTTATTTGAACATCCCACAAACATCCGCCACCGAACTTAACTCTGGCCATTTCTAAAAATAACGCTTAACAAGAGAAATACATTAGACCTTTTTGTGACATTTCTACTGATGCGTCAAATTCGACACGTAACTGATAACTTGCGACGAATCAATAATAATTATTTACATGATGATTGAAGTTTTGTCTTGAGTGGACGGACCCATATCAATCATAATAAGGCAAAGAAATGACTAAGACAATTACTGTTTTTTTTTTAGTTACGCGCTGACAGCGTTGTTTTCTCTATAAAAATGTATGTACAAAAAATATATTACACTAAACATATTGAGATATTTAGTGTGACAGTTGTGAATGCTTCAATTTGAAACTGTAACCAAACAGGCAACAAAAAATATTAAACTTATTCAATGAAGAGCGGTTCAAATCGTCGATCAGTCACTTTGGCAGCAGCTTGATCTCTTGGCGTTGCGTACAGTGGGTATCTGCATCTTCTACTGCATTTACCATGCAGAGTTTTCGGAGGAGTTGTTCGGACTGACCTGCTGAATTTCATCATCGGACGTCGAGACAGAATACAACATTACACCCGTAGCACAACTGAGCGTTAAGTACGGCAGCTTTTACCGTGCACCATCCCTATATGGAACCAACTTCCCACTGAAGTATTTACGAACCGCTTTAGGTCCTCCAAGAACAGGGCGTAAAAATTCTTAAAAAGCCGGCAACGCACTCTGGCAATGAGAGTGTCCATGGGCGGCAGTATAAACAGCTGAACCCGTTTGTTCAACAAAAAAACTAATAGAATGCAATAATTGTATGAAAAATTAATATAAACCAATCGGTGGTAACCAATTCACTGTTTAAATTAAAGCATTCTTTTGTCTCTCTTCGTCAAATTGTATTTACTTGGTGATAAAAAAAGCGAATAATAGGATATTTCATACAAATAATAAACGCAGATGTGGTGTCACGTGACCATTTCCATACCAATTTGATTAGCGTTAATTGTAGTGTACGCTTGAAGCAAAGTATTTTTATCGAGAATGTGCTGGCATTTAATACCTTATTCAACCACACCCCACAGGAGGCAATTCGAAAATGTACTCTCGTTTTCAATTATATGTTTGAATACTTAATGTGTTTCGTTAACAATTTCCTAGTGTTTTCTTCGTATAACCTGTAATTTAAGTTTCTTAAAAGAACCATTCAGCTTTTAATATACAAAAGTATGTATGTTACACAGGGCATAAGAATTTTTGAGCGCCTTATATGGGGCATGGCAAAAGTTGGGAAACACTACCTTAACGTCCTATATGCTTCCACAGTGATTCGCCATCGCTTTCTATATTAAGCACATACAGCGATTTTGGAA